GGTGGTTGTAAAAACATCAAGATTTACTTCATCACATTTTACACGCATCAACTACATCAGCCTGTTCTGCTACTTCCAAATACTATTGTCTTATAGCACTTTCTTTGTTACTATTCTTCAAGACATGTTTCTGTAGTTTATATTGTTTTATTCTGAGTTTAGAGATTTATAATTATAATAATTATTATTATAATTTGAGTTTCATTCTGTTTTGATGTCTCCATTTCTTGAGATGAACCTTGTTTTTCCCTGTGCATAATTACCCCATCTCTCCTCCATATTAATGATACCTTCTAGTTTTTGGTCAATAAAACACTGATAACATTCATGTCAGGGTCACTAATAACTACGTTAAAGTCTGATAGCTTTCTTTTATCCTGGATTCACCTCCCAAAAATTGTTCAACGCCTTATCACTTTTAACCAGTTCCTTGCCTATTTTATAGCCCTTATAAAAATTATCAACATTGCAAACTTGGTTAAAAAATTTCTAAGCATCACACAGTGTGCATAATTAGTGATCACTAAGGTAATGTGTCACACTACCTTTGCCTAGAAAATGCTTGGGGTTTTTTTCCCCCAAACATAATTGCAAGTCCAATACACTTTTGTCTACTTTTATACCTGATTATACATCATTCCCTCTTATTGCACACATCTGAGCTGCAACATTCCCTTCACTCATTGCACACAACAGTCAAGGACCCATCAGACATGAAAAACTTCTGTTCTCTCCCTCCTTTTTGCAGTAAGATAGTGTATTACCTGCTCTCCTGTCGTGTGCCACCCTGACTTCACACTCATTTGAAGTATTTCTCATGGAATTGATGCAGCAATATTCATATTCTAGTTTTCTCCATTGCCACATCCTGCAGATTTGCAGCTCACTCAATGTGAGTTTTTCCTTCAAACACATCCTATTCCTCTATTCTTATTTCTATTAATTGTACTAACCATGGGTTGAGCAGTGTATTTAAATCTATTTTAGGACAGTCGAGAAAGTTCCCTCCCCTTCGAAAGATCTTCACATGGATAAGGAACTTAGGGTAGTCACTGTGGAAGCCAGAGAGACGTGAAACCTCTGCTGTCAAGTAGCCTCTGAACTTGGCTGTGGTCGCTCGCGGTGGCAGTGACAGCCGGTTGATGGCAGCTAGGAGTCCTGCACTTATCAGTTGCGCCACACGATGGCGCCATAATGCTAAGTGTAAATCAACGGGACTAATGAGCACTGGTGTTACACAATTAATGGAGGGCAACGTTTGAATTTGCTGTAATCGTAACAGACTATTTCAATCCTAAAGTCACGGTAGTTATTTTCTCAGTCTGCATTCATTTCATCTTCAGTCCCAAGTCTCACATACACAATAGAAGTGGCTTATTTTTTCCTTTATCAGTCATCCATTTGAAGAGCACATTCCTTCTTTTTTCATCGTATTTAAAGCAATCTCTGTCTCTGTCGATTTGCTTTAAGGTTTCAGTAGTTAGGAGACCAAAGGCCACCTGAGGTTGCTATTGCATTTCTGTGGTATGTTGGAACTGTTTATACATACCCCCAAAGCATTCCTGAGAAAGCCCACGTAACTGAAATAGTTCATTTAATTATTCAGAGAATTAAAAGTAACATAAAATTAAAGTGACTGCTACTGACAGACTTTTTTGTTGGGCATCACACTTGTTAACCTTATAAAGTTAAGATGAAAACGGTACCATTAATTTCACTCCAGCAAGAGTCCTACACATGTTTAAGATTCTTCTTGTCTCAGATTGAAATTAACTACAGGAACTGGCAATATCTCCAAACACTGCTCAAAATACAGACTTACTGATACACAAAATATACAAGAGTACACAATATGCGAAAACTAGATGCAGTTTTTGGGAATATGTTTATCAATGGGAACTCAAGGCTCTGATTTATGCAGGCTTTCAGTCTAATTGGGATTAACACCTGGAGGCATATCAGGATAATACAGGTGCCCTTCTGTATTCAGAACTTTTTTCCCCCTCCCTAACTTCCCTCTGTTCTTGTCTCCCAATAATGCAATTATTTCATTAAGTTGACAAAAGTAATGTTAAGCCATTATTCCACTCAATAAGATTTATCAGCAAGTAAACATATGTAAAAATACTGCTAATTTTCTCACTCCTTTGAGTATCATCCTAGTTACAATCTTGCACATTTTTACTTCTTTCAAAATTACCTTCACCACCATTTTCAAGCCTTAACGACCTTCTGCTCTTACTTTATATTCATTTCTACGAATAAAGAACTGCCTCTTCTCTGTGCTGGAACTAACACTGATTATTGTGCTAGCACAGTATAGGGGAGCTTCCTGATGCCTCCTCAAAACTATCAGAATGTTTTCTAGCATGGAATATCACTGAAAACAGCTGCTAAGTCTTTACCTGAAGCATTTACATCTGTTTACCACGATGGTGTTTCAAAGCATTTGATAAAATGCTTCAGAAGTGACAGTAGAAACGGGATAAGTACATAACAAATTGCTTTGAGTTGGTACACTCAAGTGCTTTATTTTCCTTGTTTAATTATTTAGCTCTTTGCTCGGGAAAAGGCATAAGCTTCCTGGTGTGCTCCTGATCTACGTTTCATTGAGATTTGCACTGTGGGACCCTTCTTGACATTCTGCAGAAAAGTGGCACTGTAATCCAGAGCACAAGTTGAGGATATTCTGGGACAGCAATTATGGTCTTCATCTGCCTGAACAAATTTGCAAAATTTCACCTGCTTTATGGGAAAACATTGCACACCTGATGGGGAATCATTACAGAAATGTTCCTGTTTCACCACCAGCGAAAGCAAACCAGCAGCATTCCCTTCTCCGTACAGATCTTTCACTGTAAAGGAAGCAATTAAAAATTTCACTCCTAACCACAACTTATTACAATAAACAATTCTCCTTTCGTATATCTGTTCTAAGTCTCCGGTGAGACATTTCGTCTGATGACAGCACTAGGCTCAAACTTTCAGACACAGTTCCACCCAAGAAACTCCCAAGTCTTCAGATGCAAATGAACCTATGAAAATACTAACAACCATGGGAGTGGGTGCATAACAAACTTTCATCAGAAAGAAATTGTGGTGCCTCACTCCATAGGTGTTGTATTAACTGTCAGGAATTCAGGCACCGGCCTGCAGGTGAAGACAATTAAGTTATCCTACCAGATCTGGAATGTGTTGGGAGCAATTCAGTGACTAGTTGTAAAGGAAGGAAGGAATGTGTCCTGCTTTTCCTTGTTAGGGCTTGCTACCACCCTAGGGATAAGTGAACTGTTTATTTTCCTCTTTAAGGAAAAAAAAAAGTTTTATGTTCCACCTAAAGCAGACAATCTGAACAGCTTAACCCTTTCCAGCTTTGTCTGCTGTATTCAATCTTTCTATTTTTAAATTCTATGAGTGCAAACCAGGAAAGTTCTGATTTAACATAACACCTGCCTATAAGCTTCTCTGTCTCTGCTACAAAAGCTACAGGGAATCAGTGCTTCCCACGGGGCAGGGGAAGAATCAATTTCTGGTTTCCATCTTCAGAGCAGAAACAGTGACACATGTCCAGAGCAGCAGCAGATTATCCCATATTTGGTAACACTGCTACACTGAAAATTGAAAACAGAAATTCACAAAAGCAAAAAAAAAAAACAATGGAATTTTAACTAAAGCCCTGTGGCAACATACTAAGCCACACACAGCACTCAAAATGTCCCATATAGCATTTTGAAAATATCCTCCATTGGTTTTGATGTGCAGGGTCATACACTGCTGTTAATTTCTTCTCCTTACTGATTGGTTTCACTCACTGTGCATTGGCAATGGTGGAGGCCCCATTCCTGCAGCTTGTTCTGGCAGAGCTTGCACTCACAGATCAGGTTTTGCAGCAGGAGCCAGATTCAGAAACCCAGGCTGAATTTCAGTACAAAGCTGTGATCCTCAAGTGTCAAAACAAAAACAATACCCTTCCTCTCCCACCTATATGCCCCCAAAATAACTAAAAAAAAAAAAAAAAAAAAAAAAAAAAACACCACTTTTTTTTTTTTTTTTTAAGCTGTGAAGCTCCCTGCTAAGATTTTGGTGTTTCTAGAAGTTTACATGATCTCAGCAGATGGCTGCAAAAGTCCACAGGAGAAGAATTCCATGACAATTACTAAATATGCAGAAATAATGCTTGGCTCTAGACATTTCTTAGCTGCAAATGGCACGAAGCTCAAGGAAAATGGTAGATATTCCTGTCCAGTCCTTATTACCTTCCTTAAACATTAGTTTAACATTATTATTATGAGATGCAAAATATTGGTCTTACTGAATTCTTGATCTTACCCAGCCTGATCATTCCTATGTTCCTGTTATCTTCCGTTCCAAAGTTCCTTCTACATAACTTTATTTTCTCACATTATACTTTCATTGCTGAAAATTCCTCACTTGAGAGATAAGGCTCCAGAAGTGATAGAGAGACTTACTAGTGAGATTAATCCACATCCCAGTAAGTTTCCTACACCAAGACTTGTAGGTTCCACACTTGGATTCTGGCAAGTTACATGAAGAATCTGATCTATGATGATGATGCCTTTTAATAACAGATATTTTTAACACTGCTATATATCAGATTATTAAAAAACTTGTAGTGCGCTACATTTGTACGTGAAGAAAAAGACACCGATATCAATTATTGGTCTCCTTTTGAAGAATTAACTGCATTTATTTATATTCTGGATGTACTGATGCATTTATCCTGAAGACAAGATAGCTGTTGCTTACACAGAACATGTACACATGAGAAAATAAAGAAACAGTGCAAATTTGTCCTTTCTATTTCCTTTCCAAGTTCTGGTCAGATTTTTTTGTTTGTCTGACCTTGATCACTTATTGATTTTCCGTACATCTTCTGCCTTTGCAGTCTATTCATATTATCTTTGAAGATTTCCTCTTGGATCTTTGGCTTCCAATTCTTGCAGCAGTATTCCCTGACACACTGTTTGATGTTTTTGTAGGTCACCGACATACAGCTTTTACCCGCCAGCAGACTTCAAAGCCGGTAACGTTTGGCAGTCAAACCTGTCTCAGGCATTTTTACTGGTTTGAAGGAGTTACTGAAATTGAATGGCAAATGCTCAGCCAGCACCGGAGTCACATTCCTATGTGAGAGAGGACTGCCAGTGTTGCCTTTATATGCTGCTACCTGGATAAATCTTGAATTGGTGGTTATTTGAGGAGCACAGTCCCCAAAACCACTCCACAAAAAACAGTATTGGGGTGGCAATGAAGGAAGCAGCCTAAGTTTGTGGGCTCCCTCAGTTCAGACCTCTGGTTCTAGAAGAACAGAATTTTCTTCCCCATAGACTTGTGCCTATGCCAGATTTTGTTCCCAGCACAGCTACCAGCAGCATCTACCAAAGCACAAGAACCATCTGCAGTCACAGAGGGAGCTGCTGACATACTGTTCTCTAATTACAATTAGAGAACAGTACAAACTCCAACATCATCTCTGCCCCCAGAGTTCTCTTGTGACTTCCACGAGATATTCAATGTATCCTCCATGGAAATAGGTTTCTGATTTTAAAATGGCACCTTCTAATCAAGCATTTCCTTTCAATTTCTAAAGAAATGTGTTCATTTTTGAGAGGCTAGTTTATGTTTCTCCAGTTTTTTTACAGTCTCCTTGAAAAGGGATCGACAGAACCTGTCACTGAACCTTCCTGTTCAACAGCTGCCCTCGTCTCCTAGACCCTTACCCCATGGTAAGCGTGCTTACAGGCACCCCACTGTACCTGGGGACCACCTTTCTGAGACACGGGGAAAGTTGGGGTACTCACGGTGAATTCCCTCCATGTGTTCCCACCAAAACAGCTTAACTCAGTAGAAGGGGGTCTCCAGAGTACATTCTGCTATAGCTAAGGGGACATAAGCAGCCCCTCTGTTTACTAGAATTGCAAACTTGTCAAGGCAGACTTGCTATTCTTGTTATTATCAAGCACAATTCCATCACACTAAGGTACAAATTAGCTGTTAGCTTGGACACAAGCTAGAAGCTTGGTTATTTATTTTTTATTTTGTATTGCAGTTTTCTTTTTATAGTGATTTATGTATTATTCAGATCTCATTAAGGCTACAAATCTTCAAGACAGTATTTACTGAAACCATAATACCTATGCAATAAGTGCAAACCAGTTGTGGCTTCTGTGAGAATAAAAGTGCTAAAATATTGTGGTTTTCACTGTAGTGAATTGTAATCTGTAATCTAATGCTATATACTCAACCAAAAGTAATAGAGCTTTATGCATTTTACTGGTTGACCTGTAACCAATAAGCATCACTCTGAATTCTATCTAAACACAAGACAAAAGTATATCAGTTTTATTACCTTATCATTTAAGCTCTGTGAATAATACTGTATTTCAAAAAATACTGCTGTATTAGATGTCATATTATGCATAAAACAATGGTTCTGATTTTATGCATACTGTTCAGTAAGTGGTTTCTTAAAGAGTGGGAAACCAGGTTTCCACTGCATGAGAAAGTGTTTAATGATAAATAACATGTCATTTAAAGCAAGGGTAGAGCACATTCACATCTGTTATTCAAATCTGACATTACAATAGCATCTGCTGTCTTTCAGCTAATCACATTCATTTTTACTATTAAGCACAACACCAGGAAGGAAAACACAACAGCCAAACCACTGTTGGTCTTGGATCAGCGACTTTTGGGCCAAATCCAGCTCAAAAAACCCCAGTGAGAGTGATGGGCTGCAACACAGCATCCCAGCCCATGGCTGCAGGGAATCCTGTGCTAGTACTTACACTACCTGTATTGTGCTCAGCAAGATTTAGGAGCCTCATTAAACAGCACCTGAACAACCTGTGCCCTGAGAAATGACCCATTAAGGTCAGTAGAAAATACCCTTCAGGATTTTAAGTGCCGCACCTAGGTTGCTGGGAGGTTCCTGGCTGAGGAACTCAGGAACTGCCTGTTGGAACCAGGCACCCACAACTCTTTCATCAACAACTAAATGGCTTTCACTAGTTTTTATCATACCAGGGATTAGAGTACTCAAAGATATTTAAGAGGTATTTAGTAACTTGCTCAAAGGGCCCATACCCACATCTTTTTCACTCACAGTTATGACAGATCTGTTCACTTGGAGATGATGTATCAATATCTCTTGACTGCATGTCACATGGTTTCATCCCCTCTGTTCATAATTATATCACTGGAGCAAAGATTCAATATTTGGAAAGCACAGAAGGAAGTACAAGAACAAGATTGCCTCTGAATGCTAATCTGAATTCACTAGCACCGAAAGAGTCAGGCAACAGCACTGTGCTTTCAAAACCTATGAACACATGATTACTTCAGCAACTACATTAAACAATGTCATACCCTCCAGCATGTGTACTCACCATTGTTCAGTGAAAGTGGGATGACATTTAAAGACAAACTAATGTGAATGATTAAAACTACTACATCACAAAGCAAGCCCTATTACTAGATTTGGTAAGAAGACATTAGAAAGAACTTGACTGAAATATTCACACTATGAAGCTCAGGTTGAAAACCACTGAATGAGTTCCTTATTAAAATACTAATGCTTTCTTCAGTGGCATGTGATCAGCATATGGAATTCAGTGAAAACTGTAGATCAGCTACACATTATAGCTGGATTATTTTTTCTAGTATCATTAGTATTACAGTTAGATTCTGTTTTTAGTTATAAAACTGAATTAAGAAGTCTCTATGCTGGAATAGATCAGTTTGAAATCCAGAAGCTACAGAGAGGATAAGATATACCTTGCTCCATAATGATGAGAATAGCCTTTACTCTGCAGCCCTTTTCAGAAGTATGAGATGCTGGCCTTCAGTCACACACAGCAGAGCACAGTCCATCACCTGCCCTGCTGCCCCTGTTTCAGAGCTGCATCCTTGCCTAATTCCAACAGCGTTACATTGGCACACCGTCACTGTGCTACAAGTTCACCACCATTGGAGCAGTGCTCCTCACTACCCCAATGTAGTAGTGAGCCACAACCTTTACTCTTTTACTCCACTTGTTAAACAAGATTCCTAATAAACATACTAAGAATAATGTATCTTGTGAGTGCACTAAATATAGCAATTTGTGCACATCTAATTGCAAGCTAGGAATAATTTTGGTTTAGCATCTCATTTTTTTTCCTCTCCTCCTGAGGTAGGCAGAAATAAAAACAAACCACAAAACATACATCCCCAGATCTAAAACATACATTGGCACAAATGCTAAATATGAAATTATTTTCCTGCGGAGACTGAGGAATCAACGGTGCTGATCTTTAGAGAGTCTCTCTTACGCTTGTCTATACTTCAAGATGAAGATATGATCCCTGATAGGAGAAACGAATGTGGATGGCAAAAAACCTGTAAAACTAACCCAGGAAACACTAGACTAAAACAAGGAAAGATACTCCAGCTTCACCTCAAGCAGGTTAGGAGGCTATAGCTCCCTACCCTACCACAGTCACACTTAAATTTACCAGTGTTGATTAAAGCCATATTTCCTTTGTTGGTAAAAAAAAAAAAAAAAATAAAAAAAAAAAATCCTATTGACTATAAGACTTATAACCATATAAGAGTTTGTGACCATAAAGTATTACTTGAAATTGGGTCTTTTGTCAGGACTAGGACAACTACACCAGAATATGAGAGGGGGGAAAAGGAAGGGTTAAAAACAAGAAGTGAAGAACAGCAACCACTTAATCACATGTAGTACATGTAATTGTTTTTAAGGACCTTACCTTCTCTCCCAAGGTGAAGTAAACCATTCTGTCTTACAGAGATGCATTCTTAATTTACCTCTGAAAGTTTTCTTCAAGCCCTGTCCCAGAACATTGTTCTTAGCTCCCTTTTTTATCTAGCAGTATTTGTGATACCATAGAGAATGGGCTTTAAAAGAAGGTCTCTAGCTAAACATACATTTGTTTGTTTATTTTTCCATCTTATTTATCAAACACTTAAGCTACTAAGAGCCTTCAGGTGTATGTAAAGAAGTTTTGTTTGCTGTTGGAGCAACAGTGCTCAGTGGTTTCGGTGACTGCAGCATGCTGCAGCACAGCCCAAGGGCACTGGTGCATCTTAACATTTGCCATCTACTGCAGACTCCAAATATAACATTTAAGGCCAGCAGATACTTCACTATGATCCCAGCAGCTTATTTTACTACCACAACAAACGGCAGTCCTTATTGCCCAGAGCACGTCAGGCCAGTACTGCCTCCAAACATGCCCTAGCCAGCCCTCCACTCCCTACAGAAACAGCTTGCCCTTCTCCCAGCCCTTGGCTGGAGAGCTTCCTCTGCCTTAAATCCAGCTGGTGCCCATGCAGCAGGTGGGGCTTGTGATGAGCTCCAGGCCTGCTGGCCCTAAAAGCAGCAGGTGACTGGGCTCTAATTAGGGTTGGCTAATAGTGTGTTTGGCTAGGGAGATTCTGGAAGATTGTTTCCTTCACGCAGTCTTTTCTCTCATTCCTCACCACCTACTGCCCCTCTAGACAACTGGTAGTTAAGGTGGAAGTTTTTTAAGAAGCTGCTTGTTAAAGCTTGGGAAATGGGGTGCTGCCTGCACCAGCGGCAATTCTTTTCCTGGAGGATGAGTGCAATTGTGCTGCCCTGTGTCTGGCACTTCTCCCACATTGCACTTCCAGCCTTGCGTAAGCTGAGAGGAGTAGTTTGTGGCAGCATATAGCTTAACCTGAAGACAGCAGGATGTTGTGTAAAGAGAGGGGAAACTGGGGAGGAGCATTTTTGGTCAGGCCTTCTGATACAATTGAAAAGAAAATGAATGACTCTTGGGCTGTTGGGTTTAAAATGAAAGCAGTGGAAGGACAGAGCTGAATGCAGTGGCTCTGTTAAACCCAACGTGTATGTCAACTACATCATCTGAGAGAAAAAGACAGCAACTGTGGAAAAGAGATCACTGGAGAAGAGGGCTTTTAGCAAGGGTGAGGTGATGGAATGGTAAGCTGTATAAGAGGCTGACACCTCCCTCACTGTGTTAAGAAGTACAGAGGGATTATATTGGAGATGAATTGTAACAAGCCATTTAACAAAAAATGTGTGTTTTATTTAAAACTTGCTAAAGCTGTGCCTTTTGCTTCCCTTGCTCTCCTGAGGCATTCTGGGGTCTGCACAGAAGCTCAGGCCCACGGGGAGGAAGATGAGGTCCCTGCAGGCTGCAGCGGCTCTGTGGGTTGCCCGGTGCTCAGTGGTGCCTCAGTTTCACCCATGTTAGTTGCTTGAGGGTGTTTGGTGCTCAGACTGGAACAGGCCACGTTCTAGGAAGCACAGATGGACACAGGTATCTCATGGATTCACAGTGGGTGGTGTTTGCTGCAGTTAAATGGGGATCTTGTGTGGGAAAAAAATAAAAGCCTGTAGTAGATGTAGTAGCAAGGGAACAGCTTTCTGAGCTTCCTCAGTGTCAGGTAGGATGGCTTTGTACTGACTCTTCTTTGGCTGTTAAATTTTATGATGCAGCTATGGACAAGAGTTATTTACCAAAAAATGTCACATTATTTCCTTTAACAATAGCTGAGTCCTGACTTGATTTCTGTTACACAAATAATGTGGCCATTTGTAGGAGCCTACGTGTAAGAAATAGTTGTTGGAAAGAAATGGTTTATGGAAATTCTTCTTCAGAGCAGAATTCTGCTCACTGGAATGTAAACACAGTGTGGAATCCTCTACCAACCTCTCCCTGTAAGCAACCTTCTCAATCTTACTTTCAGTGATGTGCGTCCCTTTCAGCTGTTGCACCCTTGCTGGTGTGTCCAGTTAACAATAACAAGTGTCTGGCTCTGCAGGGAACTGTTATTGCTCATACTACTCTACACACTAATTGATGTCATCAAGCTAGTTTACAACATGCGTCTCTTTGGCTTCTAAGTAGAAGCACAGAGCGAGTATTTTGAAACTGATTTCTTAGCAAATATGACTTTCTATGAAGTCATACTTTATATGAAGTTCTAGCTATGTTACTGGTGCTACCTGGAAAGGTTTGTTCTCTTAACAGCGATTGGAGGCTTCAATATAGAGTAGCTTCCATCAGGCAGACCTTTCCCTTGGGTTTCAAAAGCACTTTTTATGAGTAAAGTGCTATTGAACACTGAAAAGGGAGAAGCAGACATTTGAAGTTTACTCCGTATATTGATTTCTCTTAAAAGAGGTACGCTTTATTACTTCACTGTGTACATGTGCTCCAGCAGGGGAAAAAATATTAAAACAGCTGCATAGACGACTCCTAATAAACCAGATTTCAGCACCTCCGCAAAGGAAAATTTAGCATTTTTGATGAAAATAAATTGAATTTTTGTGTCTCCTCTTGGGTAACTCTTTACTGAGATGCTCTATTATCTCTGTTGCCTTGCTCTTCACTATTTGCCTAATTACTGTTTGTTGTTTTTGTTCATTCCGAGCAAACTATGACAGTTGGATGAAGAGCAGAAAAAGCAGACTTTGAGCAGCAGTGCACATGCTCGACTTCTGTTGCTCTCCTGAAGCCTTCATTAGTAATGCTGTAGACTATGTTTAACTAAAAAGAACCTTGCCTCTTTGAAGTGACAATGGATAATGAAAATGCAGCAGTAGTCACAGCAGTCACGCTTTAATCCTCCTTTCATTGACCTACTGCAGCAAAAACTGCAAGCTATGGTGGATGCAGTCCTGACCTTTTTTGAAGTTGTATCTTGAAGGTGTGCCTTACTTCCATGTTTCCATTGTGCAGCACTTTCTAAGGCAACGTCAGATAATCAGCGCTGCAGAGTCTGGGATGTGACTGGAGCTGTTCTGTGTCTTGATTTGAGAAGAATGTGGGGAATTCTGCATTCAGTTTGGCAGCCAAACTGAACGGAGAAGAAAACAGCTCTGAACAACCAAAATGAAAGGGACATTTAGTTTGAAGAAAACCCAGAGCTTCACTTAACATTCATATAGTGTGCAGATGTGGGCTCAAATCATTTTTACAGAAGATGTTTGAGGCTTGGCTTCCCACAGGATGGAACGCTTGTACGTTTCAGATCATGTGCCTGCAATAAGCACAAAAACATTTAATCCTAGGATTTTTAATTTTTGTCACTTTAAATTTCACCTCTGGGGACAATTCTTTTTTTTTTTTTTTTTTTTTCTTCAAGTAAATGATTCACCAAAAGAATTGATGAATTTTAGAATAGTCACAGGTTGACCTTAGAGGGAGCCAGGATGAGGGAGAAAACACTGATGCAAAGACTGGCAGAGATACAACAGGCCCTGCCTGCTTCAGTAACTGCAGAAGAGCCAAGGTATGCACTGGGGTCAGTGGTGCTTTCTTCCTTGTGTTTTCTAAAACGTGCCTGGAAATGGCATAGACATAGCAAAGTAAAGGTACTTCTCTTTTAAAAAAGAGTTCCTGAAGCAGTCTGCTGTAGCTGTATGCTTTCTTTTCTAAAAAAGGGTTGGACACCAAATGGTATCCATTGCTTTGTAGTCTACGTATTGATAAGCATAGGTGGAATTTCTTGTTTACTTTTTTTATTGCTATTGTACACTTATCAGTATTTCAGTGACTTTTCCACAACAAGCCTTTAATTCTTTTCCTGATGATGTGACTGCCGATTACACTGTTTGCCTTGCACTCCCCCACTTGCACATTAAATTAGTTTACAACTGTTTGCCCTGGCCTGATTTTGACATCTGCTGAATCAATTACCTGAATCGCTAGCATCTTTTGAAGCTCAGGGCATTGCTTTCTTTGTTTTTCTCCAAACTCGGGGAAACTGAAGGATTTATAACCACTTACTTGGTTTTTAGAGTTACATTTTATTTAGTGTGAGTTTTTTTGGGGGTCTGCAGTCCTTGCCTCTACAAACGGGGAACCGAAATGCCGCTACCAGTCTGCAGAGGCCCTCGAGTCCCGTTAGCCGCTGGGGAGCCGTTTCAGTTTCTGCGTAGTGTTGCTTGAGGATCTCTTCCAAATTTTCTTTTTTCTTCTTTAAGAAGAACGTGTACGTATGCACTCGCACGGCCGTACCAAGGCTGAAGAGTGCCAGCTGCTGGCTCTCGGGGTGCTGACGGCGCTCCCGCCCGGGACTCCTCCTGGCACCGCGTTGGTGCGGCTCTGCAGGGAGCAGAAGCGGCAGAACGCAGCAGAAAGTGGCGACTGCTCGCGTGGTGCAGCGCGGGACGAGGCGCGGTGCCACAGCGGGGCCGGGAGTGCAGGGCGGGGGAAGCAATAGAACCGCTCCTTCCCTCGGCCGCGGTCGGTTCGGTTTCTCGCCGGGTCGCTGCCGGCGCTCCAGCGCTGTCACACCCAACCCGGACGGGGGCTGCGCCGCGACCGCTGCTGGCAACCGCGCGCTCGCACCGAGGGGCCCCGGGCCGCGCCCCCGGGCGGGACGTGCTCGGTCTCCGCCCCGCCGGGCGCGGGCGGCCAACGGCGTCGCGCGGGCGTGAGGGGGCGGTGGCGGCGCGGCCGCGCTGTGGGGAGAGCGCTGCATGGGCGCGAGGCGGTGTGCGGGGCCTGCGCTCCGCCGCCGCTCTCCGGTAGCGACTCCGGTAAGGTCCGGGGGTTCCGGGAAGGGCTTTCGTCGGGGCGGGGTGGAACGGAGGGAGAGCGGGCGGAGGCGGCGGCGGCGCCGCCGAGAGGAGCGACGATGGGCGGGCGGTGCTCCGCGCCCGTCCTCGGCGCCGGGCTCTGTCCTCCGAGGCCGCGCTGCCCGCGCTGTGGGGGGCGCATGGAGGGGCTGCCGCGGTGTGCTGGGTCTGACGGGGTCCCGGCGCGGCCCCTTGGCGGCGGCTTCCCTGCGCCGCCCGCCGCGTCGCGCTCTCCTCCAGGCCGGGCTGTGCCGCGGAGCGGGCTGCTGACACGTCTGCTGCCGTTCGTTTTTTTTCTTTCCGTTGGGGCTGGCTCGCTCTAACTGGGGAGGTCTGGAAGCGTTTATAGCGAGGTCTGTGGGCGCTTTTGTGTTCCAAAGGCAGGCGAGGTGTTCGGAGTCGCTTAATGACCAGTGTTACTCGTGCAGCCCTGGGCACGCTGCACGAGTGCCGTCGTCTTCCCCACCCCCTTCTCGGCTCCTGGCGCAGCCCCCGTAGGGTTCATTGCAACTGCAGCACGGAGCGGCTCCACGTTGCAAAGAGAAAGAAAGCAGAAATAACGCAAAAACAATGGAGCTGCATTAGAGTAACTCCTGCTGAAACACGGAGTGGGAGCGTTAAATTGATAAGGGTGCTGATTCTGTTTTTGCCTGACCGACTACAGAAATATGTACAATTTGCACTTCAAGCTGCATTCATTACTTGGATCACAGTAATGTTTCTTTATTAATAGTGGTTGGATGTATCTGCAGCCACAACTAAATCGTTTAATTGGCATGTTCTATCTTTTTCTTCTTGTGTTTCCCATATAGGGTGAGTTCTGAGCATTTGGCCTGGTGCTGAGTGTAATGGCAGGGCTGTGGGTGCTGCTGGAGCCAGTCCTGGCTCTGCCACCTGTGCGGCTGCCTTCAGACAAATGGCCTAACCTGGTGTTGGAGCTCTGAAAGTGCGTTCTGTTTTTCCCTAAAGCTGCAGGTAGCTGTTTACTTTTACCCATCTGATAGCCCCCAAGTCTGTGTGTTTTTGTAGTGGAAATTTTAAGGTATGCTAAAACAGAGCACCAGCCTTCAGGCTGATTTGTTGAGATTTGTGGCTAAACTTTGGTGCTGAGATGTTTTAAATCACTTTTCTATATCTTTACTTTGGCTTTATTACAAGACAACAGGCCTAAAAGCCCACGTACCAACTTCCAGGATGTTTTCCCTTCTCAGGCTGTATAGGTCAAAGTTTCTTGCTCAGCACAATCTGTGTAACAAAAAATGATCCTATCAGATCAAGGTTGACTGTTATCTGAAAGGCAGGATGCTGAGAGCAGCTGGGTGGCTCTTGTGGTCTGTATCACGTGGGGTGTTTTAGCAATTGTTGTCAGCTGTAGTAACATTTCATGGTAGAGAATTGGTAGAGAATGGGTCTGGGGGTGTGTGTAACAAACATGACTCTTAAGGTTTCCAAAATAAGTAGTGAGGGAACAAACTTCCTTTCCTTAAAAAAGGACGCATCATAATCAGCTCTAGAAATAATTTTGCATACCGCTGGCTTTTGTGCAATGATGCATATTTGCTGTGCAAATCCTTAAAAAAAAAAAGTCTGTATGTATATATGAAAAGAACATCAAGCAGTCAAGAACCTTGATAATGCTTCAGTTAAGGAATGTAATGTAAAGCAGCATCATATTAAAACAATTTCTGGGTCTTCTCAGTACAAAAATATTGTTTATGTGTATTTCTGCCCTAACCAGTGCCTTTCCTTCTCCACTTCCTTTTCCCTTCCTCTGTTTTAAAGGGCTTCATCTCTGGCTGGCCAATGGACATTGGGCGATCCTGAATGCTGTCTGTGGGAGCTCTCTAGGCACAGCGGCTGCTGGGATGTTGCGACAGAACGGTGGAAGTAACAAACGTGGTTTGGGATTGGCCCGGCTGTCTACCTCCAACTTCTTCACCATCTCTAATTCGGGAAATTGGGGAATGGGGCGCAGCACCAAGAGCAGCTCTCTGAGCAGCATTAGCTCCAATTCTGACTGCTATGATAATCCTGTTGTGGACCCAGAATACATCATGCAGCTGGTGAATGATGTTAGAAAATTTGCAGATGTGCTACTCTACTTGAAGGAAGCCATTTGTTCAGAAGGTATGGCAGTTCTTAATCCTAAATTCTTAGGTTTCCTGAAACTCCCATGCCTCTGCTCATATTTTATCTAGTTTTTGCTGTGGCTGTTATCCTCCCCTTTGCTTCTTCCTTTTATTCCCACCCCGGGGCCCCCCCCCCCCCCCGCATGATGATTATGGGAAACGGTAGCTGTTACTTTGGGCTCCATGTTTCCTCATCAGAACGCTGTGCAACCTGCTTTCATAAGTGTAGTGCTCTGGAGCATGTGGTACTTAGAAGGACAAGGGAGAAGAGGCTGTTAGCAGGCTGTTAAGATTGCCACTATAAGTTAGCAGGGCCATCAACTGATGAGTTTTTAACTGTTGAATGCTCCTGTAATTCCAAATAATTCTGTTGGCGATGTGCTTGTTTTCTAGACTGGTATGATTCTGATTTTTCTTTTGGTGCTTTTTTGGGAGGCTCATATGTTAGTAGCTTGAATTAGAGTTTTAGGATAGAGTGAAACTTCTCTCTGCAGTATTTCTCTACACAATAAGTAGTTACTCTCTTCTGCTGGCAGGTGGAATCTGCAAGTTTTGGGGGCTTTTCATTGTTTTTTTGTTTGTTTGTTGTTTTTTTTTGTTTTTGCTTCTAGGGAGTGTTTCCTTTGCACCTTCAGATTTCTGTAGGGATAGTAGTCCATTTTTGATCATCAGCAAAAAAGTTCTTATCTAGCTTTTGCAGAAATATCGCCATGTTAATAGTTAAACTGACATTGAAAGCAGCTTTTAATAAACATCACAAATGCAAGGCATTAGCAGTTACTTCTGTGTTCTATGTTGCTTGCTTCTTTTTGCTGTTCCCCCTGCCTTACTGTTGCCATGTCTGTTTTCTCTGAAATTGAAATTTGCTAATAAGCAAATTTATGTAGATCTGAAGAGTAAGGTGATATTTTAAGGTCCTTACTCAGTTCAAAGGCAGTGAATTTACTAGTGCTCCCTTGTGCAAGTGCAATTTTTGTTACCTCCTGTGCTCAGGATTACCTTTTTATTTATAGATGATATTCCTGAAAAGGAATGAGAGGAATGATTACACTTAGTTCAGATCTTCCACTGATCCTTGTTGAGGAGAAGAAGGCTAGAAATGGTAGGATCCAGTGCTTTGTAAGCTTCAAAGGCTTGAGTCTGTATGCAGCTGAAACAGCGGTGCCAAAAAGTGTGAACAAATCTTACCAGGACAGTAACTTGATACCAACGATTGCCTCGTGTCAACAGTGTTTTTGCTGAGCAGGCAGGATGAGCAGAGTTATTTGTGAGGTCAGGTGTCTAGTGCCTGCTGACACTGAAATAGGCATCCAGTAGGAAGGGTCTATCAAAATGCTGATATATTCCATCTGCTATGCAGTGCTTGTTAGGCAACGGTCAGTATAAAATTTGGGGCTTAGAAGATCCAAGAAACTAACAAGGAAGATAGAAGTTATTGTATTATGTCAGATTGTGGACATGAATTGTGAAACAACGTTATCCATTAAAAAGATTGTTAATTTATGAAGGAGAGGTGTTTCTTTTCCTCCATTGGACTTGCTGCTGTCTGGAAATGACCTCTTTGCAGCCGAATAGTTTGAATTTCATTAGTCCCTCGTACTTCAGAAATATTTATAGTTGTTTGTATAAAATCTGACAAATGCACTCTGAGGTGGCATTTATATTTTACATGCAAAATTATGACTTGTAAGACTTGCAGCTTACTGACATTTTTGGAATTATGGTTTATTTCAAGATGAAGTCAGTTACAGGGATGGAAAATTAGTTTCTTCCTTTTGGGACATCCTTAATTTAGTGTGTTGATATAGTTTTTGTTCAACAGTAGAGCTTTGCTCTGAAGCTTATGAAATAAGAATCAAAAGTAAATAATGCTACTAACTACAGCAGACTTCTTACTTTGATATTCTTTTACTGTGTGCATCTTCAGTTAGTTTAGAGGTGGCAAACATTAAGTGATGCTGCAGGGTTGCATTAGCAAGCCCTGGTGTTTGTCTGGCTAGCATTCCTAGAACCTGGTGCAAGTTTTTCAGCTTCCAGCTAGTGTTTCCCCCAGTTAACTTTCACAGCTACTGTTAGTCATAGTATTGCTGCTTGGCAGATTTGCCTAAAAATTCCTTTGTAGTATGCTGTAAGCTCCCTCTGGAGCACGTGGCTCAGCTTGCTGCAGGCTGCTTGGGCCAGCACCAGCAGTTGGGCTGGCTCCCGTGGGCGCAGGCCTTGAATTCCACACTGTGCTTGGATCTCTGTGGTCCCTGCTTGCTGTGCCTGAGCTGCACTGGAAGTGTCTGGCAGTTATTCACTAGCAGCTCACTTAGCATTCTCCTGACGTAGTGATATTATCTGGGGTGAAAAATTTAAGCTATTCTGGACTGTAATATGTACTCATGTCTTGACTAGATCATAAGTGCCTTTAGATATAGACTTGCACTGTGTTTTGCGTGGTACTAATCAAGTTGATAAAAGACCTCACCAACTTCTTCATATTATTTAAGGAGACATTGTTAGCAGAAATTTCTCACCTATGTTCTTGAAAGTTTCAGTGCCATTTCTCTGTGTATTACTTGTTATAATGTAATTTAACTCCTTACAGCAGTTTTATTTTAGTAATACTGAATGAAATACGGATATTTGCTTTAAATGTAGAAATGTAGTGATGATTGCAAGAAAATAAACCTGAGATACGAGAAACTACTTCTCAATGACACCTGAAAACTAAGCAAAACAACACCCCTCTACCTCTGGGGGGAAAACATAAACCCTCCCTGTGAATAGAATTGCCAGATTGATGTTTTTCAGCCCTTTGGACACAGGGGAGCTGCAGTTGCCTCTTGTGTTGAATGAAATACCATGTGTTCCATGCACTTGAGTTCAATTTCCTTTCTGAATCTAGGCATTGTACTTGTTGGTTGTAATGCTCTATTGTTAGCAATCCGTTTTGAGGCACAGGACCAAGGTACTTACCAACATCTTCGTTAAAGAAGAGCTCTGTTTTTTGTAGGTCAATGAATTCAGCACTGTTTCACAAAAAAAAAAAAAAAAAAATTCTGTCTGATGACAGTTTGAACCTGTAGTGATTGGACTGCACAAAATGACAATGGATCAATCTTTTGGCCTGGTCTTAACTTAGATTTCTAGATGAGTTCCAGATGAAGTTGTGTCGTATGGCTGATATTAAAGAGGATGATTATACTGTCACCATGTCTTTGTGCTTGTACTGAAAGGCCTGCTCATTTTCTAGTATTAGTACTTTCTGAGGTCAAAGATAATTGAAATGTATTGAGGAGACTTAAAATAAATCAGTCATCTTTCCTTTCTGGCAAGAATAAATGGAGAACAGTTCCTCAGGAATCCTGCCTGGCAGGCCAAACCTGAGAGTATATGCTGGATGGATGCCTACAAGACTCTATCTATTTTTGTCAGCTACAGACTGTGCCACTCTTCAGATAGTTCATTTGAATTCTCAGTTTTACTGATGGCATTCTTGCTATCCCCCAAGCTTAGTTCTTGTTTCAGTGTATATCTAAAGTAGAAGCTGTTAAAATGTAGTAGATTGAAAGCTAATGGGTTTCTGTTTGTGTTTTGAGTTCAGATAGTGGCTTTTCAGCTGCAGAGGGAGAGTGTGAGGAAAAGATCGCTGTCTTCATCTGGCAGCCTGCTTTCAAACAGTAGGACATGCAATAAAGTACTGTCTAAAGGCTAGGCTATTTTCGATCTTCGGATGTAGTGACATGCAATGAGGAAAAAGAAGCCTGGTAGAGAAAGTTGTAGGAATGGAATGGTTGTACGCATCCTGCAGACCTGCTGAGGGCCTGGCAGCCCGACCACAGCACTGAAAATACTTCAGAATGTGATGTGTGTGGGAATGTCACAGCCGAAGCCTTTAGATGGAGAAGGTTAAGTCTTGTACCAAAGCAGGGGTTTGTGACTGCAAGTAAGTACTGTTGAATTTCATAAGGTTGAGTGACTTCAGCATGCAGATTATGTTCCTTTGGCAGGGAGGAGATATGGAGTAATTAGTCCATACTGTCCAATCTCCTCTAAGTATGTCTATACCTCACAGAAGTAGCTTACGTGCTTTCTATACAACTTCTTGGCTCAAACTATGCAGGACCTGCCTCTAACAAATGTTTGTTAGAAGTTCTGTTGGTTCAAATATAGTGTTGTTAGATGTGCAAAGTTAGGAGTCTACTTAAGAATAAGTATCTGTGCCTGAGATTGGTACCATTACAGTCTGTTTCATTACTGCCTGTAATAAATTCCACTACTGCCTTAAGCAAGTGATGTCATTGTGTGGCCTTTGCTCGAATGAGAGTCATTTACTCGGGTTTAAAAGGATCACATAAAAGAATATTTAGGGCAAAGTCTGAGTTCCTAATTAAAATATTTTACTCACTCTTTCACTTTTGGACAGTAAATAGTAGCTTTGATTTGTATCAAGTCAGAGATGGGGGAAACGTTCTGGTTTTCCTCCTCTGAAGATAGTTAAGTACTGGTTTGGTGACATCTGCTATTTATTTTTTTAAGGAATTCAGCGTATGCTGTAAGGTCTGCCCTTGGGACTGTGGGAAATACTGCTGCATTTTGAATAGCTGTGAGGGTGATATTTGCATGTGGCCTGAAAGTGCTCGTATAATTATACTTTAATATATAATCTGTGACTGTACTGCAGAATATATTTAGGTATTACTGTTTTCTTTATCACAAACTTTGAAGTAATCTTCAAAGTGTGATACTGTGTGCTTCATGTGGGTAATTCTGCATCCTTTTCATGAGCAAAAGCTTTGTTCCTCAAGTTCATCCTGTCTGTCTTCAACTAATGTAAATCAGAACTTATTATAAAATGGTAATGTACCCTTTTTTCCAGATACACTGGAAAACAGAATAGCAAGTCAAAGCCCTTGCTTTTCATCACAAGTCTGTCTTTGAGGATCAGATTTTGCTGTCTGGTGTCTTAGAGTTCAGTGAGTGTTTTTGAAATTGTAACAGAAGTGAAAATAC